AAAACTTGATTTTTTTAAGAAACTATTACACCTGCCTTTTGAGACATATGTCAGCTACAAATGAGTACTAGTCAAAATAACATAAAGTGGCAAGAGTGTTGTATTCCTTGATGTTACATATACATTTGTAAGTCACAAATCTTAACTGTTGTGCTGTGTCTAAATCGTTACTGTGTTGTACTATGGAATTGCATTGCTCTGTGCCACCTGGGGACAGCTGCTCAGCTAGCAGTACAGCACGCTCGCCAGCACGTGGAGCCTTATGTGCCGGCAGCAGCCGGCTTTGGGAGGTTACATCAGTAGTGAAGAAGTTCCTTCTTTCACCATTTAACAAAATAAGATGTTGACTAAAGTACAGTTGTACTGTTGTGCAGCTGTAGTAATTCTCAAAAAGTTCATCCTTTAAAAAAGCTTTGGGCCAGGGAGATAGCTTGGTGGTCTAAGCACCTCCCTGGCAAGCGCAAGCACCCGGGTTCAATCGCTGGTACCACATGCCATGCTAGCCCCACGCCAAGCTGACCACCAACACTGTATGTGGTGGCACATGCCTGTAATCCCAGCGCTGAGAGGCTGAAAACAGGAGGATCATGAAATACATTTTAAAAAAAAAAAAAATGCAGGGATCCATCTTCAGGTTCTTGGCCTGATTCTAGTAGCATTTTCTTTCCTTATGCCATACAGTACCAAATTATATTCATGTATTTTTAATATACACTTTGGCTGTAAAACTGCCTTTTAATTGAATTATTTTAATAACTTCAATATCCCTTCTTTATACCTTTTCAGAATAGTCCTGTTACATTCTTTCGGGGTTTTTTAATATGTATTTAGTACAGGGTCTACAGGGTCTCACTACATAGATCAGACTTGTAACGATCCTTCTGTTTTTCAGCCTCCCAAACCCAGGGATTATAGGCATGTGCCACCATGTCCGATCTCAGTTGCCATCCCAGCGTCCCCTAGCGGCAGGGCTGGCACAGTACACCTGGGTTAGTCTGCTGAGCTATCTGGCCAGCCCTTCCTGTTACAGTCTTAAATCAGTGGGGCTGGGGAGATGGCTCAGTGGAATAAGTGCTTCCCTGGCAAGCGCAAGGGCCTGAGTTTAATCCCCGGTTCCGCCAAAAAAAAATCAGTATGGTATTAGCCATGGTTTAATATTGTGCCATAGTAATAAATTGAAGCTAAAATATAATAAGGTACGTATTACATCTATTTTGTTCTATAAAAACAGGATGACCAAAAATAACATTTTTTGTTAATTTTATAAGATAATATAACAGGAAATAATAAAAATAAGTTTCATCAAATTTATGCAATAACGAGGATCGACTAGTTGCAAAGGCACCTATCTAAGCGATACCCAGGGTAGTCTGTAGTAAGTAAGCAAGTGTACTGCCAGGTGGCGTGGAGTTCTCTGCTAAGGGGTCAGTAGAGCCCAGTTAGACCGAGGAGTTCCCATCAGGCCTTTGGCATTTCAGCCCCAAGTACCAGAATATGAGGCATGCCTTTTTCCAGACCCATAAAATGGTATCATCGGTTAGTGCCTTGAATGTAGGTGTATGTAACTCACACTGTTACACACACCCTGAACTGACCTCATGTTTTTATTGTACTGTCTCTACCCTTCACTTTGTTTTTCCCTTTACATTGTCCTTGAAATAATACTTGGGAAATTAAATATGAGCTACATTCATTCCTGCTTCTCTTTTCTTTTTTTCTTTCCTCTGAGTCTTATTCCCCTCCCTTTTCTCTTTCCTCCTTCCCTTCCCACAGAGTTTCCTCATGTGGCCTAGTATGGCCTTGAACTTGCAGTGCTCGTGCCTCAGCCTCTTGAGTGCTGGGATGACATGTGAATGACGAGATTAGAGGTGTGTGCCACCATACTGCCCCCTTCCTCACTTTCAGAGCACACTTTAAAATTTTTTGGAGTCTTTCTCTGTAATCTTTAATCTTCAGAATTGAAATTTCTATTAATCTTAATCTGGTATTTTCTTTTTTTTTTTTTTTTTGCGGAACTGAGGATTGAATTTAGGCCCTTGTGCTTGCCAAGGAAGCACTTGTTCTACTGAGCCATCTGCTCTGGTATTTTCTAATAGATGAATAATTTTACTTTGATGTCTAGTAGTCCCTTGTCTCACATTTTCACATATCCCATTATTTTCCATATTTCTTGTAGTCTGCAAATTTTTGGTACAGTCAGGCCATGTTTGCTGTAGCTTTGCTTAGCCACACAATTCCCTAGCAGTGATGGCACATAAAGCACCTTTATCCAGTTACGTATTTTGATTAAAACAATAGCACATACATATTAGTGTTTCATTATATTGTGTAAGTCCATCTCCCATAATATAAACTCCTTTAGGTATTTCTTTGTGTCTCAAATTAGCTTCATAGAAATAGGACTTTTTAAATGTTCTATGAGAGAGATACCAATAATGCAGGGGGCTAGACATATATGTGCACAGTTTTTTTTTTTAAAGCCCCATAGGTACACTATTAAAGGATTATAAATGTTCCTTTAAAATATCCTTCCATGGGGAGATGACTCAGTGGAATAAGTGCTTCCCTGGCAAGCGCAAGGACCTGAGTTCAATCCCTAGTTCTGAAGGAAAAAAAATAAAAATAAAAATAAAAATTTGGGGCCCTGCCCCTTAGCTTAGCTCTTTAAGTGGCTGCTTCAATAAAGCAGTCAGGCTCAGGTTGCTGTGGTTCGATCCCCATAACTCAAGCCAGCCAAACCTGCCCTGAGGTCATTCGGCACCAAAAAAAAAAAAAAAACCTTCTAAAATATCCTTCCAATTAGTATAATCAAAAAGCTATTTATGTATTTATTTTTATCACTCGAGGTTGAATCCAGGGCCTTTACACTGAACTATATCCCTAGGACCTTTTAATTTTATTTTGAGGCAGGGTCTCAGTTGCCTGGCCTAGCTTCAAACTTGAGATCCTCCTACCCCAGCTTTCTCAAGTAATAGAAATTACAGGTTTTAGCCACTGCAACCTGCTTTAAAAGTCTTTTATATGTTTACTTGTTTAGTAATAATTTGGTATATGTAATTTTTAAAAACTTTTATACTCCTCCTTATTCCTGTCTTCCCCCTTCTGGAGCCAGGCATGTTTAGTAATATTCTACCACTGATCTGTATCCTCACCCTGAATGAAGCTCTTATCAATAATTGTCTCAGAGGGGCTGGGGAGATGGCTCAGTGGAATTCACGCTTCCCTGGCAAGTGCAAGGGTCTGAGTTCAATCCCCGGTTCCACAAAAAAAAAAAAAAGTCTCAGAATAGGATTTCCACAGTCAGGTTTGCTTGTGTTTCCCTTGCTTGCAGTTAGCAAGGGCAGTGTCCTCCCTGTGAATAAAATTAATTCACTACTGAAGAGCTAGCCACAAAGTTAGTAACGTGTCTTTGAGTTCTAGTGCTGCATTTTCATGAATATAAACCCTGAATATGTATGGAAATATTGTGCAAGTCAGAAAAGGATCTCAAATTCCAGCCCGGTTTGGGCAGTTTGGCAGGAAATGTAGCTCAGTGCAGAGGTGCTGTGTTCGCTCCCCAGAGAGAGGGAGCTAATAGATTAGACAGTGCAGCCATAGGACATGTGCATTATCACAGAATGTTTTTAACTCCATGTCAGATGCACACCTGTAATCCCAGCACTCAGGAAGCTGAGGTAGGAAGATTGTTGTGAGTTGAAGGCCCCTCTGAATTATATAACAAAACCTTGTTTCAAAAAAACCAAATCCCAAAAAATGTGTATAAGCTTCTTCAGTGAAGTGATAGATTTTCATTATTATAATTTCTATTTTCGGGGCTGGAGAGATGGCTCAGTGGTCTAAAGCACCTACTTAGAACAAGCTTAGCAAAGCATCAGGGACCGCGGTTCAATCCCCCAGCACCACATGCCAGCCAGCCCCGCCCCCTGGTGGGATGAGCTGGCCACACACCACACACACACTCTCTCTCTCTCTCTCTCTCTCTCTCAAATAAATTAATTAATTAATTAAAAAAATTTAAAAAAAATAATAATTTCTATTTTCCTTCATAAATAGACCTTTTCTCTTGTACTTACCAATCTTTATGTCCTGGTCAGCTTTTTAAAAATGTGCTACTGTCATATTACTGGTTATTACTGTCAAATAAAAACAACGTATGGCTTATTTACCGTCATTTTGTTTATGTGTAGCATTTTAAAATACTTAGCACTTTCAACTTTGTCAAGGTTACCTAAGTCTTACAGACTGAGATATTTCTCCATTTTAGGTAAAGAGACCGATCCATACAATTTTTTCAAGATCACATCAGGTTTAGGATTAATTTTCCTATTCTACCTAATTCTGCAAATGGCGATATTTAGTTCCTGAAAACTTTTATGTCCAAGTCTTGATAATTTTATGCTTACAAGGTACCTGAAACAGTGTTACATTTATAGACATATAAGATGCATGTGGGAGGGGTAAATTCTGTTGTATGGATGTGTTTTCTACCTCTTTAATTCAGTATTCAGCCATAGAAAAATATATGGAATGCTACTTTGAATAGATACAGTGGAGTTTGGACACTAACATTACTCTTTCCTCATTATTGTTGCGCTCTGCACTGCGGTTTTAGGATGTCAGCCATGGATTAACTGAGGTGAGTTCGGTGTGGTAAAGTTCCATGTTCAGAATAAGATGCATTGTTTTTTCCTGTGTAATCAGAGTTAAAGATTTCTCTCTTTCTTGAAGAGAGAGTGAGGGAATGCAAGCATGCTGGGGTGTGTGTGTGTGCATGTGTGTTTTGGGTGTGTAAAGATCACCCTGTGTATCATTTCAGAGAAATATTTTGAAGAAAATTAGAACTGTTTTAGTTAACGTATCTATATGATGCTTTTCAAGGTTTACTTTAAAATAGTTTCAGTTCTTGTCTTCCAGTTTAAAATGTAATGTGACCTATAATATCAAAAAGCAGGGCTGGGGAGATAGCTTAGCAGTCTAAGTGCCTGCCTGGCAAGCTCAAGAACCCAAGTTCAGTCCCCAGTACTGCATGCCTAGCTAGGTGTGGTGGTGCACACCTGTAATCCCAGCGCTGCGGAGCCTAAGACAGGAGGATCACTAGGAGTCTGAACTGTGTAGTGAGACCCTATATCCAATAAATAAATTTTTTAAAATAAAAATTTCAAAAAAAAATCAAAAAGCAAACTTTATTTGACAAATACTTAACCAAGAACTATATTAAATAAGCAAAATGGCCTTTATTTTTAAACTAATAATTGATTTCAAAAATAGGAACAAAATTAACTTTCAGTATGATCATCTTTCTTACTGTGCTTCATGCACTGTTGCAGTGCTGTGATGTAAGCAGTAAACCTAAACTGTCCTTGTAATGCTTGATAGTGCTTCATATTTTTTTAATGTTACATTCTTTTATCTGTTACAGACATTAGATTTTGTTTTGCTTTGCTTTGCTTTTTGTCAGTGCTATTTTCTCCCCAGAACTAGAAGCAATGAAACATTTGAGGTAGTTTTTAACTGAAGACATAGGGCTGTCTTATATAGTGCAGTGGTAAAATATTTATCTAATGCACTTGTGACCCTAAGCATCCAGAAGAAAAGATAACATTGATTTGTGAAGCCAATGGGAACTTTAGAAACATGTAAGTCTTTCTGAGATTCAGAGAAATGAAATGACTGTGTATGACCAGTACCTAGGAACACATGAAAAACACTGATTAGTGGCAAAGTACTATAGGGTACTTATAATTAAACATTGTTTTATCTATTGACAACAGAATTGATAGTAGTTTATCATTTTCAGATTGTTTTTGCTGGCTGAAGTTAAAAACCATTTGAAGTAGTTCAAAACAAGGCAGGATGGAAAAGAGCTAAACACTGTATTTTCATAATAGTTTAAAAAAATTGGAAATCTTAGCACAGAAAAAAAAAAGACAGCTTAGAGAAAGCTGGTCAGAACTTAATATTTAAACCACAGATGTTTCAGTGTAGGGCAAAACAGAGGCTAAACGATGCAGTGATGTATAGAAACACAGACATTATAAATGACTGAAAATAAAGTTACTTTTCCCTATAGCAGTTCTAAGTTGGAATAACTGTTGTCCAGAGCTTTGGGATTTTTCATCTTATGTAGGTGGTAGGAATAGTCATTCACTAAGTCCAGGAGTGTGTGACTACCAGTGCTTAAGTCTGTGTTTTACTGCTTATTGTGAATGTTGTTAAATGCAGTAATTCTTAGGCTTCTTATTTTGCCCCTCAGTCACTAGTATAGTAAGGACTGGATACTCTGTTTAACACAGAAACCCAAAGTTATAGGATGAGACTTGGGAGTTAATATGTGCTAAGCAAAAGATACTTGTGGGAGCCAGCGAGATTGCTCAGTAGTCTAAAGCATCTGCTTAGGCAAGTGCTCAGGGACCGCGGTTCAATCCCCGGCACCACATGCCACTCCATCCCCACCCCCAGGGTGGGCTGAGATGGCCACAAAAAAAAAAAAAAAAAAAGATACTTGTGTATAATTTTATAGACTTTCAATTATATGGTTCCCTTATAAAATTAGAAATTAGGTTTATTCCACTACCTCATCTGATTATCAATAAAAATTTTATATTCGTAAATAAGCAACACGTGTTTTGCATATATAATTCCTGAACCATCAAGTGAAGCCAAGAATGTGATCATCTTTACAAGAAATGACAAAACACTCACAATAAATATATTATAAATCAGCTTTTACTAATAATTAATTTTCTATTCCCAGTTGGCAGATATCCCTGTTACAATCTGTACATACCCATTTGTATTTGATGCCCAAGCAAAAACTACTTTGTTACAAACGGATGCAGTTTTACAGATGCAGGTAAAATTTGTATGGTACTAATCTGATTTGAGAGTATTTTTAAAATTGTGAAGTTTTAAAAAGTGTTTAAAAATTGCCTGTAATTTTTAATCTGGGTACATTATGACATTGCAGGCTGTCATTTATAAAGTACTGTGAGGGGCCATGAAGACTGCTGATGTGACATGTATATACTTATGAGGACTGCTTGCAAAAGAGGCTACAAATGAAAAAATTTAACCTTTTAACCATTTTATGTTTTTAAATGATATAAGCTTCTTTGCCTGTATAAATATGTAGTCTTTATCAACAGTTTTACTACTTTAGTTGGTAAAATGTTAGGTTGTTTCACAATCTTGCTTCATTCTATGTCCCCTGTTTACTTGGTAAAAGATGAAAGTTTCTAGAGGTGAGATGATCTTAAACTATGAAGCACTTGATCACTTGTTAAGAAGAGGATGTGAAATTTCCTTAAGGAAAGTTTCAGTAATCAGATATTTTCTCAGGTTGGTCATTCCTCTCATCTGCTGCCTTTCTCCCTACTTTCCTCTTCTTTTAATGTTCAACTTTTTTTTTCATTCATGAGAGTTTAACCTTTTTATTCACATTATGACTTTGAAGGGTTAGAGTAGCTTATCATTTGATTTTGAAAATAGGAAAGACCTTGAGCTGCTTATTTTCAAGTATAGACTATCTGACTGTGTAGGTGATATTCTAAGAAAAAGACAGAAATTTTGAACATTTAGTATCATAAAAATGCTTTGAAAATTTATAACTCCCAGATTTTGATTTACTTTTTTCATCAGTTCAGGTAAATACATCTGGTGCTTGAAATCCTTCCGAATACCTTGTTATGTCTGAGATGGGCCTTGCTGTGCAGTGTAGACTGGTCCTGAACTCAGTCCCATCCTCCTAGCTCCGCCTCCCAAGTGCTGGAGTCACTGCACCACTGCACCTGGCCCCTTCTAAAAATCTTAATAAACACTAGAGAGAATTTCGAGGATGTGTTTGTTTCTGTTTTCATCAGAGGAAATAATAGTTTTGTAAGGTTCTTGTGTACTGACAACTACTAATCCAGTTTTTTAAGTCTTTGTTAAAATGATGTTAGTGATCTGTAGTTTTAATATATTTCCTTTTAAAACAAAACACGGGAAATGCCTTTGGAGGCAAAGCATACTGTAAGTGGTAAAAGTACATACGCTGACCACACAGTTTACTAATGAATTTTTGTAACGTAGTCCTCAGCTGGATGGTTCCTCATTCTTTTTAAAAGTTTCTTTTGTGCTATTTTCTTTCTTGTTCTCCATCACTATCTGTTACTACTTTTTAGGAAAAAGACAGTTCTCAGATTTACCAGTATTACAGTTCTGTGTTTACTTACCTTAATAATGTTAGGAGTTATACAATAATACAAAAAGATTTTAAAGATACTCTTTATGTTCTGTTACTAAGTTCTTAGGCCAAACTAGATAAAATACTGTGTTAAATCAGGTATGGTGGTGCATGCCTGTAATCCTAACACTTCAGAGGCTGCTGCGAGTTTGAAGCTAGCATGGGCTACATAGCAAAACCTTGTCTCACAAGTGTGCATGTGTGCGTGCGTGTGTTACTGTGACATCTAAATTCGGTAGTAAAGAAATGAATTCTAAAATTATACTATCACTGATGGGTCTTTATAACATTACTATTAAAACTTTAATCTCTTATTTTCTAGATGGCTATTGACCAGGCCCACAGACAGAATGTCTCCTCTCTTTTTCTCCCAGTGATTGAATCTGTGAATCCCTGCTTAATTCTAGTGGTGCGTAGAGAAAATATTGTAGGAGATGCAATGGAAGTCCTTAGGAAAACAAAGAACATAGATTACAAAAAACCACTCAAGGTAATTTGTTATTTTCTTGTACGTAATTGGGCCCTTTATTAGAAACTTAAGTTTTCTTATTTGTATCTATTGTATCTTTGATGCTTAAGAAATAAAATTATGTAATTTTAAAACTCCTGAGTTGCTGAGCATTCATTAGGGCCTCTGGAGCTTACTTTATTTTTTACAGTCTACTCAGTATTTGCATTGTGCTATTTTAGGTTATATTTGTTGGAGAAGATGCTGTGGATGCAGGTGGGGTTCGCAAAGAATTTTTCCTGCTCATCATGAGGGAGTTACTGGACCCTAAGTACGGCATGTTTAGATATTATGAAGATTCCAGGCTTATTTGGTTTTCTGATAAGGTAAAACGTCCGTCCTTCAACTTCTTTGTAAACCTTTGCGTAGACCACTTAACTCAGAAAGTTTTTATTAAGAGTTATTACTGGAATTTTAAAGTACAGTTTTTGTTCAAAGATTGTTTAGACTTAGAGTTGTCTAGAACACTGAGGCTTTACCACACATTTCGGAAGAACAAAATACATGAGGGGACAGTTAGCCCAAAATGCTGTTGACTTTTCCTTCTGCTTAATTTATTTTGGGAATTGAATAATTACTAGGTTAGCTTTTCTTCTGTGGAGCATTAGATTATCATTAGAGATCATTGATGACTCATTATAGGTAAGAAGTCAGCAAACTTTAGTCTGTAGGCCAAAATCTCTACATGAACATTGTTTTTGTTATGTGCATGGTGTGTTTACATCAGAAACAAAAAATTTTGGCAAGAAAGACACTGGCTGGACCATAATTGGCAGTATGAACTGAAACAGATATCACTGTGCTTGTCTACCTTTCAACTGAGGAACTCCTCTGTATAAAGCATGTTTTTTCCCTCTATAAAAAGCAGAGTCTGTTTTTTCAGACTCTGAAACAATATCCAGAACATTGCTGTGGTCTGCTTCCTGTGGCCCAGGAGCCGGGAGGCTGGGGTGGAAGCATAAGTTGAACCCTTAGGTCTACACAGTATAGCCAGACCCCTTCTGCACAACTCGCGAGCTTCACACATGCTAAGCGCAAGCTCCAGCCCAGGCTGCCCAGGTTCCTTTGAATAAAACGAATTGGGAAAATATCCAGTGAGCCTTTATTGTGTGCTTCAGAAACAACACTATCAGCATCTTATGTATTTCAGCTCACTTAGTTCTCATAGTAAATGTATGAAACTCAGTAGTGGCTAACTCTAGTTAAAGAATTTATTTTCCAAACCATCATGTTCACAGAATCCTTAAAAATGGATATATGTTATCCTTTAAAAGTGGGGGAGAGGGGCCGGGGGGACGGCTTAGTGGAATAAGCACTTGCCTGGCAAGCGCAAGGGCCTGAGGTCAACCCCCAGTTCCTCAAAAAAAAAAAAAAAAAAAAAAAGTGGGGGAGAATATATTATAATGTTTTTATCTATCCAATTAAAGTGAAATAGCTAACTTAACAAATACACCTTCATATAATGTTCAGCCATTAAAAAACATGTTCTAGAAAGAATATTTAATGACAAGAAAAATGAGATAGTTTAAATAACAGCATTTAATTTTTCTCATCTTAAAATAGAAATACATGAAAAGTTTTCATGTTATTAATATGTATTAAATAATCCTTTACCTTTACTGTTGTTTTGTGTTTTGTAGTGCTGGGATTTGATTCCAAAGTATTACTCATGCTAGGCAAGTGCCTATCACTCGGTGGTGTTCGTCCCCAGCCCTAATTTAATATTTAGTGACATGGAAATGCTTATATTCCTGGTGAAGGCATGTGTCTTTGTGTGTGTGTTTCAGCTAGAAAATATATTGAGTAGAAATGAAAAAAATACAGTGATGTTATATTACAGAGGTAGTATAAGAGTAGGGTTTTTTTTTTCCTGTATTTTCAAATTTTCCTACTGTGAGCATAGGTTTGTTGTTTGCTTTAGCATAGGCTCTGTAATCAGAAAAATATTTGTGTGGACATGGTGGCACGTGCCTGTAATCCCAGCACTCGGGAGGATCATTCTGAGTTCAAGACTAGTCTGGGCTACGTAGTGGGCTGAAGGTCAGCCTGATCTGCATAGTGAGACACTGTCTCAGAAGACAAAAAGAAAAAAAATTCAATGTTTTAACTTGTAAGATGGGTCTAACTTATTTTCTCTTCTGTTTTTCAGACATTTGAAGATAGTGATTTATTCCACTTAATTGGTGTTATCTGTGGATTAGCAATTTATAATTTTACTATTGTGGATCTGCATTTTCCCTTGGCCTTATATAAAAAACTGCTGAAAAAGAAACCATCCCTGGATGATTTAAAAGAATTAATGCCTGATGTTGGGAGGTCAGTTATAAAAAGTATTGAAGATAGAGTTTAAGAGGCAAGAAATAGGCAATGTACAGAATGCTTTCCTTCTAGGAATAATGTTTTGTTACTTCTCATAAATTTCTGAAATAACTAGAAGGCCTTACTGAGATCAGAATTTTCTCTTGAAAGAGTAATGTATTTTAATAGCACTCTGGATTTTTATCTTCAGAGCTCAGCTTTTAGTGGTTTTAGGAGGTAAAGTTTTCTGAGAGTGTTTAAAGGGCATACTTGGACTTCAGATTATATTCATTCCATGTTTGAATATGTAAGAAGATTTTTTTATTATATAAAGTATAATGAAAATTATACATAAGAACAAATGTTAGAAATTAATTAAGAGCCAGGTATGGTGGTATACCCATGTAATACCAGCACTCAGGAGGCTGAGGCAGGAGAATTGTGAGTTTGAGGTCAGCCTGGGCTACAGAGAGCCCAAAGCCACCCTGACCTGCACTATGAGTCCCTGTCTCAGAAAGAGAGGTGGGGAGATGGGGAGGGGAATGATACACAGCCTTTTTATTTAAAAGACAGAAAAATTTCTTCCTTCCGATTTTTTCATATACTTGCCCTTGTGCACCCAGTATTGTGAGGCAAATACTAAGGTAGTAATGGAACAGTTTATCAACAGGGAATGAGCAATGTGTACTTACTTATAAACAAAAAATCAAAATGCTCAACGTTTTACCTTAAAGAAATATTACATTATTTTGCAGAAGCATGCAACAATTACTAGATTATCCAGAAGATGATATAGAGGAAACATTTTGTCTAAATTTTACGGTAAGATTAAAAGACCTATTACTCTGCTTTGCTTTCTTGCTTTTTCATTATTTTGATAGGTGGAATTATTAACCCCTTTAGCTAACATTCATTGAGCATTTACTATGTGGTAGTTCCAGTACGTGCATTATGCACTTTCAACAATCCTATGAGGTTAGTGCTGTTCCTGGTTTATAGGCGAGGAAATTGAAAACTACCTGTCAGTGAGCATTTATGCCCCTGTGGCTTCAGCGCATATATGCTTTATTAATGTGCTAAATGCTATTCACATTTTCGTGTTTGATCTTGCAGTGGTAGGAATGTTTATAGAAATAAAAGCTTATTATAACACAAGTTTTACTAATGAACTAACTAACTTACTGCTTAGAAGTTATTTCTCCCAGTCCTTTTTTACTTCAAACTATTGCTCATCTTGCCTATTTTATCTTACTGTTGTATAACTTAGCATAATACAAATATATTCCAGTTATTATTTAGGAAGGAAATTGTTAATCTTATATTCAGACAGTGAAAGGGATGTTGAATGCCTGATCTAGTCCCATGCAAAGCTGCTTCCAGATGAGGTCTAACAGAAATAGTCCACGTAGCAGTTGAACAAGGGGGTGGTGAAAAGCTGCCATGGGAGCAGACACTTTGAATAGATGAGACTCAGGAAAACAGCAAAGCTTGCAGGTCTTTTTCTTTCTATAAACATTTTTTATTTTCATATTTGTTTGCTTTCCTTCCAAAAATTCTCAATGTTTGTTGTCAGTATTGACAAAAAATAGCATATTCTGTTGTTACACAATTTACTCTCTCCTAGTTGCCCTCTCACAAAAGTGTAATGTTTTTTATTGGCATGTGGTATGTAAGAATATTTAGTAGGTTTCAGGATTATACAAAGTTTCATGACATTTTTTCCAAGAAATATCTCTGTTGGAAGTGTTTCTGTTTGCTGTTAAATTTTGGTTTTTCTTTTCAGCTGATTCACTCGTGTATTTAAAGTGTCTTCAAGTCTTGCCTTGATCCAAGTTGAATTCTAAGCAGTTTTTTAACTTAATAATCACTAATAACCATCTACATTCAAGAATTTCTTTTTTGTGCCATTTCTTTCTCAGAATGAGTTATGCTTTTTGTTGCTTGTGGAATAAAGTGTAGCATGGGCAGCAGAGCTTGTCTGGCTTCACCCACCTTTCCCTGCCTCCCACCACACTGTCCTTCTGCACACTTTAGAGCTGCCACCTTCCATTTTTCAGGACTTGACATTTAAGCTCATATTTTATTCTTTTGGTAAACAGATTTGCTTGGGCTAAAATATTGCTCATCTCCCAGTCTTGAGAATCAGATCTATTTTGGAGGTGCTGTATAAGTGGCACTTACAGTGGTCTCCATAGATGACCCCTTAAGGTTTTCGATACTTTTTCTAATTGAAATTAAGTTTTCTTTCCTGTGCAGTCTTGTGGAATTCTGCTTGAATCCCTGCCATGTACAGTATTATTTAGTGGATAAGTTGCTTACACCTCATGTCTCCTCTTTTACCAGATAATAAACTTCAGAGAAAGTATTCACCTCTTACCTATCTGACATCCACAGTAGTTGCAAAAAGGAATAGCAAAAGGGTGTACTTTTTTTTAGAACTCATAGGAAAAATGTAAATATCAAAATAACTGACCACCTTTATAAACCAGATTAATGCATAATTAAACAGCCTGTGATTAGGCAGGCATGCAAGGCAGATAGGGGAGTATAGGAGAATACTGACAGTTGGCTGTGATCATTCATTAAGGAAAGCATCCTCTAGAAAACCTTAACCTGTTCTCAGGTTTTCTGCACAGAAAGTCATTTTTCCTATGCCTAACTAAACACACATTTGGTAATTTATAGTCTGTCTGGGTAGGATACTAAACTCAGCGGATGACAATTCTTAGTTACAGGAGGATTACTGCAAATCTGATCTATGTACTGAGACCCTGTAGACCCTGTACTAAATACATAAAAAATAAAATAAATAATAAGAGATGGCCAGAAAGCTCAGCAGACTAAAGCTCCTGCTTAGGCAGGCGCAGGGACTGGGGTTTGATCCCCAGTGTGCTGTGCTGGCCCTGCCCCTGGGTGTGCTGAGACTGGGCGTGGTGGTGTTTACCTGTAATCCCAGTGCTTGGGAGGCTGAAAACGGGAGGAACACTATGAGTCCAAGCTGTGTAGTGAGACCCTGTAGGCCTTATACTAAATATATATAAATAAATAATTCTTTGTGACTTTAAGCAGAATTTATAAGGAAGCTTGTAATGGCAGAGTTTTGTCCCAATTTTATTAGTTTTTATCTTTAACAAGAGAAAGGAAAAAGACTGTTAATCTCTTAAATTTGAGTCTGACTTTTTTTAAAATTTAAATTAATAGATCACAGTTGAAAACTTTGGTGCGACAGAAGTGAAGGAGCTGGTTCTGAACGGTGCAGACACAGCTGTGAACAGGCAGAACCGGTGAGTTTGGCAGGCAGTGGGAATGGTGAGACTTAGGCGGTTTTCTCGGTCATAGCCCTGAATTGTCACTCGCGTAAAACTTAGTCTTCAAATTTTTAGTGAGGAAATAAATTGCCTTTGCTCTTTTCTTTTGTGGAACCGGGGATTGAACTCAGACCCTTGTGCTTGCCAGGGAAGTGTTTATCCTACTGAGCCATTTCCCCCGCCCTGCCTTTGCTCTTGAAGTCCTTTTAAATCATCAAAAAGGATGAAAAGTTCGTAAAACAACAAAGTGACAGCAAACACATTTTTGAGAACTAGAAAATTGTGCTAACTTACAAAACAGAAAAGCATTATAAAATGGACTGAAGAACAAACAAAGGATTAGGAATCAGGGTAACATCAGATTTGTAAAGAACAACATTAGAAGAAATGTGGAAAAAAACCATTTTAACTTAGACTCCTGTACCTGCACCATCAATCTGAGGTTGTACATAGCTTAATATCTGAGAATTTACTTCTGAAGTCTCTTCTTAAGGGGCCTGTGTTCTGCCAAAAGCAAAGAATTAAGTCAAAAATGAGGAAGGTACAGGATTCTGTGTAGGAGAGAGGCCAAGAGGATTCCTCCTAAAGATGCAATAGCAGGACCAGCCAGCGGACTAAAGTGCCTGCTTTGGCAGAGCTCAGGGGCAAGGGTTCGATCACAGGTGTGCCGTGCAAGCCCCGCCCTTGGGGCATGCTGAGGTGGTGACTGAGACTGGGGTGGTACGTGCCTGTAATCCCAGCATTTGGGAGGCTGAAAACAGGATCACTGAGTCCAATCTATGTAGTGAGACCATGTGCACCCTGCGGACCCTGTCCTAAATTCATTAAAAAAAAACAGCTGTGTAGTAGAAAGAGCTGGCAAGCTAGGATAGACAAGGACATGGAAGGGTCTGCGAGGAAAAGCAACCAGTGCTGTGCTCATCCATTGAGTGAAAGAGAAATAAATGTATCTGTTAGAGTGGTAGAGGAACTGCAGGAGAAAATTCATTTTAAGAAAAAGATAATCAGAATACAACTTAAGAATGGTATCTATAAGCATGAAAAGGTTAACTGAATATTGAACCAAAAATAGTTATATATTAATATAATGAGTGTATAGGGGAAAGTGAGTGTGGAGTAATTAAACAAAGGTAAAAATCCTCACCTTTCCCAGTGAGTTTTCAGATCTTTAGCCATTAAAAACCAGAAATCAAGGAATAAATAAAGAGTTATGTTAGTCAAAGCTTGAAGGTTAACTAAGTGCTGGCTTTAAGGGGCAGGAATGTCTGGCAGAGGAACAGAGGACAGAGCTGGCCTGTTCTTCCTATTTTGTTCTAATTCTGCAGACAGAGCTGATTTAGTGAGTGTCACCAGGGACCCAACAAAAATGACTATAATCCTGATTCTGCTGTATAGAAGCTTTAGGTAAATTAGTTGGTGTCCCATTGCTTCAGCTTCCTTTTCGCAGAACAGAATGGTAAAGTGTGCCAAGACCTAGCACATGGACATGTCCAGTAAATGTTGGCTCTTAGAATTATTACTCTTGTAACAGTTGATGTTTTAAACTAGTGTGTTACTTTGATCAAAGTAAAGCTATTGTTAAAATAGTGATTTAAAAAAAAAGGGGGGGGCTGGAGAGATGGCTCAGTGGTCTAAAGCACCTACTTAGAACAAGTTCAGCGAAGCACAGGGACCACGGTTCAATCCCCCAGCACCACATGCCAGCCAGCCCGCCCCCTGGTGGGCTGAGCTGGCCACACACACACACACACCACTCTCTCTGTCTCTGTCTCTCTGTCTCTCTGTCTCTCTGTCTCTCTCTCTCTCTCTAATAAAAAAAAAAATAAAAATAAAAAAAAAAAAGGTCCTCCTTGCTGTCCTTTAAAAAAAATTTTGTGAAAGCTGAGCAGGGCAGCACATGCCTATAATCCCAGCACTCTGGAGATGTGACAGGAGGGTCACCACAAGTTGGAGGCCAGCCTGGGTTGCATAGTGAGTTTAGCACCAGCCTGAACTGCATAAAAAGACTCTGTCTCAAAAAAACAAAAGTACAAAATGTATTGGTGGGAAAGACCAGGTGATGTGGCACATACCTGTAATTCTAGTACACAGGAGACTGAGACGGGAGGATCACTGTGAGTTAAGAGAGCAAGAGAGGCTATGTAGTGGGTCAGAGCCAGCCAGAACTGCAATGGTCAGACTCTGTCTGAAAAAAAGTGGTTTTTGAATAGCTAACTATGATTTTTTTTAATTTTTTTTTTCAAAATTTTATTGATAAACAGCAATGAGACAGTTTCAAATCAAATCGGAAGTACAGTTTCAACAAATAATACACTGCATATATTCTTCTTAGTGGTTAATTGCTGTACAAGATGCGGACTTGAGATCCTATTTACAAACATCATTAGAACAAATCATTTTGTTCATTAAGAGAATGCAACTATATATCTATCCTAACCACTTTGAATACACAGATACAAAATGGACATTCATCGGTATACCCCATTTTTTCTAAGTTCCGTTATTGAATATTATAGGTGTGTAAACTCAGCAAAATATTCTAAAAGAGTCCAATAGCCCATAATAGCATTGGGTCTTCTGTTTAACTGGCAATGTCAGAAATTATTGACCTGAGTCCGCCACAGTTCAACATAACAACATGGTTTTACTTCCTATATTTCGTCTTCATACTTTTCTACTGGATGGTTAAGACCAAGGTAAAGCAGGACCTATGCAACAAGAGTTGTAGCTTTTTGGTCTGAGAAGGTCAGTGAAATGCCCTCAGGATTTATCCTGAGATCCTGTACCTCAGATTGTAGAACCTTTGTCAGTGCAGCCATGTGGATGAGTCACGGCCATTGCTTGGCCAATGTGCTCTCTGTGAAAGCCTGAGAGAGTGTCTTCTCCCCATGTGACTCTCCTTAGGCCCACTCTATGTCATCGATCACTTTCCTCTTTGGCCCCATAATCTTCTTGATCAGAAAATTTGGGACACTACCAAGGTACATGACGTTACAGTACAAGTTCTCATATGTCCTGAGTCTTAACTGACCTTAGAAGTTTAGGGCCACAATGTTGGCTTTCCTTGTAGCCCTCCTTTTTCTCTAATTTTGGTCTGCAACTTAGGTTGTTAACCATCCAGAAGACAAGCTTATTGTTATTATCAAATGATTTAGGCTATCAAGCTTAACCTCACTATCTCACTGCATTTCAAACATCTTAGGCATAATAAGGAACAGGTATTTTTCATCAAGTATTGATATGTTGAACTTTAAGTCCCTACATAATATGATAAAAAAACATTTAAAAATTAGATTATATTTCAAAAACAGGACAAAGAATTCTACACTTCTCATGTTTGCACAAAAGTCCAAAAATCCCACCGCATACAACCCCGAAGCAGGACAGTCCCACAACATTCCCCCTCCTGTCTCGCTTTCACCCACAACCCCCCTCCTGCTGAACATCCAAGCACCCGAGAGACATCCCAGCAGCAACTGGCATGTCATGACAAGCCGCCCACACTCAGAACACCACAATGACAGGCACTCCAAACATGAAACCACTATTACAAATTACCATCTGCAGTGCAGTAGCTCAGTTCACAGGCATGAGTACATATAGCTAGTCAGGGTGAGAATCCACCACCAGATTAAAGAATCCTCTGAACATTCTCAGGATCATTGCCTTGCTCATCTTCCACACACAACTGTATGGCTTGACATTGTCATGTTTCCTAGCTTATCTCCTTTCCCTCTCTTGATTAGTCCTTGAGATCCTGCTTTCCTTTTACTTGTATTATATCTTTCTATTTGTATTTCTTCTTTGGAGTTCTTATACTAGGGAGATTATATGATATTTACACATGTGTGTCTGGTTTATTTCACTTATGAGTATATGTTCAAGTGGCATCCACTTCAATATAAAGGCTTGCAGTTTAAAAGGCTGTTTTTGTTTTTGTTTTTTTTCAGAACCAGGGGTTGAACTCATACCCTTGCGCTTGCCAGGGAAGCACTTATTCCACTGAGCCATCTCCCCAGCCCTTACGATTTTAGATTTTATGTTATTTTATGTATTCTGTGGACTGAACTGAGGGTTTCCTGTGCAATGGGCACATGTCCCAGCCCTTTCTACTTTTGAGACAGGATCTTGCTAAGTTGTCTAGGCTGCTCATGAGCTTTCCATCCTCCTGCCTCAACCTCCTGAGTATCTGAGATTGCTTACAAGTGTGTGCCACTGTGCTTGATTTATGATTTGACTTATTTCTGCTTTTTAAAATATTCTGTTGTTCTAATTCTTAATTCCTAGAAATATATTTCATGCAGACTGTCTAGCTGGGAAGTGTTTTTAAAATTTTTGACAAAATGTAAGTTGTCACATAAAAGATTTCTTGTGTTTGAGGATCTTAACTAGTATAGAGTAATTTAACTTTCTAATTGAATGACTTTATAATTATGTATTTTAAAATTGGTCTTTCCTCATCTGAACTTCATAGCAAATGCTATTACTTTTTTCATAAGCTCACCTATTTTTTATATTTTACAGCAGCTCCTTTGACCATGTATGTGCCTCTATGTAAATTCAATTTGGAAAGGGTCAGGGGGATGGCTCAATAGACTAAACGCTTCCCTGGCAAACACAAGGGCCTGAGTTCAATCCCTGGTTCCGCCAAAAAAGGAAAAAAAAAAAATTGAATTGGGAACTTTTGTGTAACTTGATAGAAGGTTGTCTGTAGGTGATTAAACATACCTGATTTCCATTTATACAGTCATTTTTTAAAAGACAAGGGTAAAAAATTCTGAAATCTTTTAGTAGCTGTTTCTCTTTTTTATTGAACCAAATTGTTTCATAAAAGTATTCCTGACCAGTAAACCAAAACAAATTGAACAAAATTGTTCTAATTACTAGGTAATTAACTTTTCTTTTGTAAATATGAGGCAGAAGAGAGTCAGAAGTGTCTGTGTACATCTGTGTATGCACATTTGAAGAGAAGCTACACATGTAATTTTTAGTGATCATCTTTGAAATTATGCTCCATGTATCCATTTGTAGGGTTTTTGTTTTCAGATAAATTTTGTTCAGGTTTCTTGGAATCTAATGCAGAAGAGCTGCTCTGTGTTGCTGCTCCTTGGCAAGTGCCTGGGAAAGGGAAGCTTTTGGTAACTTGTGGGTATTTGAAGTGTTAGTAGCTGGGCGTGTCATTCTCACTGACATTTCTCTGTTAGGAACAGCCTGGGAAGAACTGTGAGTGCCTCAGAGATTCACCTGACTTTAAGTGTAGCAAGAATAGTACATTTCCCCATAATGCCTCAGGATAAGTGGCAGGAGGCAAAGCTGCACAGTTTTAGGGTTTGTTATATGTTCTCCACAAGTGGTTTGTAAATATTGTGCATGTGCTCTTTCTCATTTCTAGGCAGGAGTTTGTTGATGCATATGTGGATTATATATTCAATAAATCAGTGGCTTCATTATTTGACGCTTTCCATGCGGGTTTTCACAAAGTCTGTGGAGGAAAAGTTCTTCTGCTTTTCCAGCCTAATGAACTACAAGCCATGGTTATTGGAAACACAAATTATGATTGGAAGGAACTGGAAAAGGTAGGGAAAAACAAATCTATGATATTGTTCCAGTGGAAAGGACAAAGAACATGTCTTAAGTGGAGATCTTCTCATTTTTTAATGTGTTTTCCATTTTTACATAATTTATTGCCCTTCTGACTCCACCCTGACTAGATTTGTGGACTGTGGGATTCCAGTGGTTTGCTCACATCTGCAGGGCTGGTGTTGATGGAGAAAACACTGTCCACTGCAGTGCGGCCCAGGTGCAGGCTTTCCCACCTCAGCCCTGGGAGAACCGTCCCAAAAAGCATTGTAGAGCTCCAGATCTTTATTCCCTCTTGCTATAATTAGTTTCTAGCAGGAAAATAATGCTCATGGTCTTCATTACTAATGCCACAGCCAGTCTTCAGGGGGGAAATGAAGAATTTTTTAAACTTTGCTTTTCTATCCAAGTAATTTGTAATTATTTCTTCAAATAAACATAGATAGACCAAGATCGGGCCAAGCTATCCATTTTCCTATGCTGGCCTCTTGCGTTTGATGTCTGACAGTTTCTTACCATGTGCTTGGTACTGTCCCCAGGAGTTACCTTCACACAAGAACACATGAATGAGGGCATTTGCATAGCCACGGTCTTCCAGACAATAGGGGCCGGGGAGATGGCTCAGTGGAATAAGCACTTCTCTGGCAAGTGCAACAGCCTGAATTCAATCCCTGGTTTCCCCCCCCCCCCCTCCCCCCAAAAAAAGATTGAGCAGACATGGTCACACACTAGCTGAGTTCCTACAGATGGTGGAGACATAAGGCCGGCATGGCCTGTGCCTGTGTTCCTTATATATGGGAGGTGGTACAGGGGCTGCAGAGCGAAGCCAGCTGGACCACTGCACACAGCCCATTGGCAAAGAAAAGGAGCAGCGCTCCCTAGGTTTGGCCTCCAGTTAGCATGAAGCCAGACCTGAGAAGTGGGTCAGCAGCCCAGACTGCCTTTCCATGGTAGCCGATGCACATGTTTGGTATTGGGACAAGCACTGTGGCAGGGTTAGGATGAGAGGCTATTGTTAGAGGCTGAACTCGGGGCCTGAGTGGTGCTGGTGGTTGCATGGTTCTGTAGATAGGCCTCAAGCTCAGAGAACCATACACCTTCCATAAAAAGTCAGTTTTATTTCTCATACATTTAAGAAGTAAAACCTAAATTTTAAACAATAATTAGGTGCTGGGGATATAGGTCAGCAGCATAAGCACCTGCCTGGCAAGCATAGTCCTGAGTTCAATCCCCAGGACCAAAAAATAAATTAAAAATTAACAATAACTAGCCAGGCCTGTTAAATGTGGTAACACACACCTGTAGCCTGAGCACATGGGAGGCTGGAGCAAAAAGATAGCTTAGCTGTGAGTTTGAGCTCTGAGTACAAAGTGAATCCCAGGCTAGTCTGAACTACCCAGCAACACTGTCTCAAAAAAATTAAGATTTATAATTCAACACACATTTATCTCTGGTTCTGTCTCCAAATTTCACTAAAATAACAGTAAAAAAAAGAATTCAAAAGAGATTGGGCAAGGTAGTGCACACCTGTAATCCATAATCTATACACTTAGAAGGCTGAAGCAGGAAGATTGTTACAAATTTGAGGTCACTCTGGGGTACAAAGTGAGCTCTCAAGGCCAGTCTGAACTCCATAGCCAGACCCTGTCTCAAAAAAAGAAAAATCAAAATTGAAATATAGATATCAAAGCATATAGAGGGCTGGCCAAATAACTCAGCAGATTAAAGCGTGTGCTTAGGCACATGCAGCAACAGGGGTTTGATTCCCAGTGTTCTGTGCCAGCCCCGTCCCCAGGGTGAGATGTGATTGAGACTGGGCATGGTGGCGTGAGCCTGTAAACAGGATCACTACAAGTCCGATCTATGTAGTGAGACCCTGTAGGTCCTGTACTAAAATACACACATACTTTTTTTTTTTTTTTTTTTTTTTGCGGAACCAGGGATTGAACTCAGATCCTTGAGCTTGCCAGGGAAGCGCTTATTCCACTGAGCCATCTCCCTGGCCCCTGTACTAAAACACAAAAGAAAAAAAAAAGCATATACATAGTAAACTAGAAAAAATCAATTTGACAGAAAAGAGGTAAGTCAATGAATAAAATTTAGGTCAGAGAAAATAATTCTGGGCCTCAATGGTCATGGCAAACATTTCAGAGTTTTCAGTGATACAAACAGCCCACTGTGGCACGTGTACCACAGGCTGGCTATGACTGGCCCTGAGCTTAAGATTTCTTCTGCACCCGAGAGTCTCTGAAAGACAGAGGAATGTTGTACTGTGTGACTTTTAAAAAATTTTTTTTAAAAAATCATTTATTTATTTATTTATTTGGTATGGGGTCTTGCTATGCAGCTCAGACTTGTAGTGATCCTCCAGGCTCGGCCTCCCTGTTGCTGGGATTATAGGGATGTGCCACCAAGCCTGGTTTTAGTGCCTGGCAGGGCGCAACTGAGGTTTCAGGGCCAGTATGGCCTATGTACCAGGGATCAAACCTGGGTCCCCGCTCTTGCCAGGCTGGCGCTTAGACCGCTGAGCTATCTCCCAAGCTCTGTGTAACTTTTTTTTAAAGGCAAGGGTCTATGCATTGACTAAAAGCTGTAGAAATACTCGAGTCTTAAGGAGTAGTTGGTATTATCCCAGGGCCCTGGGATGCTGAGAGTGGAGGAGCCAGGATTCAAGGCCAGCCTGAAAGTTGTAACTTTGCAAGACCTGTGACAAAATAAAAGATAAACAGGGGACCTAAGGAGGAGTAGCTTGATGTGAAGCCCCTGCTTTCTTTCAATCCTTTGTCTAGGGGGAAAAAAGGGGTGGGATCTGTACTCTATGTCTCAGAACTGGGCAGGGCTAGACAGGAGGAATGCAAATGCAAGCCCAGCGTGGGAACTTGGTGAAACCCTATCTAAAAATATAAAAAATGTTAACTTGGCTGGGAATGTAGCTCATTGTGAAGGCCTTGGGTTAATTCTCAGCATTGCCAGAAAAAAAAAGATTAAGCCTCCCATATACCTTCTCTTACCAACAAAAAACAATACAATGCCTTCTCAGCACACCCCGGGGGCGGGGCTGCCACAGCAGGCCTGGGGATCAACCCCCTCCTGCCCCGCCCCGTGCCTCCTTGCAGGCGCTTAATCCACTGAGCTATTTGGCTGGCCCAATATCTCTTAATACTAATAAAAGGTTATGTTGTTCTTAGAATACAGAATACAAAGGGGAATACTGGGCAGAACATCCTACGATAAAAATTTTTTGGGAAGTATTTCATGAACTACCACTGGAGAAGAAAAAACAGTTTCTGTGTAAGTATTTCTAATGTAAGTATGATAGTCCCCATTTTATGAGGTAAGAGTCTAATTATTTAAATTTATTCTCATAGAATATTGATTTTTAATGGATTAGATTTTGTTGTTGTTCTTTTGAGTCTCACTATGTAGTTCAGAGTGGCCTTGAACTCACTATGTAGCCCAGCTGGTCTTAAAGTCACAGTGATGCTCCTGCTTCGGCCTCTTGAGTCCTGGAATTACTGGCACACGCCACTATGCCTGGCTTTGCAATTAGTTTTTAAAAGAGCTATTCTGTGTTCATAATTGTGTGTGTTCAAGGGCTGGTGAGATAGTTCAGCAGACTAAGCACCTGCTTTGGCAAGCGCAGGGACCAGGGTTCAATTCCTGGTCCCACATGCCATGCTGACAGAGTCCAGGCATTGTAGCGCACACCTATAATCCCAGCACCAGGGAGGCTGAAAACAGGAGGATCACTACAAGTCTGAGCTGCCTAGTGAGACCCTGTACCAAATACGTAAATGAAAAAAAATAATTGCATGTGCATGTCAAAGGCTAGATTCAGTTTGTCTCCAAAATAGTATTGGTTTTTAGAAACGAAGCAAACTGGAGCCAGGTGTGGTGGTGCATGGCCAATCCCGGCACTCAGGAGCCTAAAAAGCAGGATTGCCATGAGTTCGAGGCCAGCCTGCACTATGTAACAAGACCCTGTCCCAAACAAGGAAAGAAATGAAATTATAATTCTAGTTATAATAATGTAGGATTGTATACTTCTAGAATATCTTTGGAGGATAGCTCTTTTCTGTGTTTGGTCTTTGTGTTTCTATTTGCCTGACCACTAAACTTTAGAAATTTTTGTAGAAAAATAGAACTTTTTAAAAACTAACTGAGTCTTACTTCCCTCATTTGTAACCTAGTATCTTTTTCTTCATGTGTTAAAAATCTGGATTCTAATTGAAACTTGATTTATTTTCATGTCAGGATTTTATGTATCTAAATCAGTGACATTCTCTTAGCTATAACTGCAGTTGCCAAGAATATTTTTGGCAATCTCTTTTTGAGAATCTTGGCTGAATTCTGTCCTGTATCACAAGAATGACAGATTAGTGATTTTTGCCTCTCCATTAAAAATTTCTCTTCAAAAATAGAAAAAGGAATAAAAAAACTGAATGTCGTCAACTAGTTCTAAATGGCTTCTCCCAAAAGACAGGACCCCAATGTTTTGATCGTAATCATTCGTCAAGCATTTCCTGAGTACCTCACAATGCCAATGTTGAGATCGCACATTTCAAGAAGAAAGTGTTAATGGATAGTGTGTCTCAAAGTTACTTTCTACAAACTCCGAAAGCCTTGCAGCTGCTGGAGTAGAGCGGAGCAGAAGGGCGGCTGGCTGCTCTGTCTTCCTTGCTCAGATGTGTTTCCTTGGCAGTGTTTCTGACAGGAAGTGATCGAATCCCCATTCTCGGTATGAAGAGCCTGAAGCTGGTCATCCAGCCGACCGGAGGCGGTGAGGAGTATCTCCCGGTTTCTCACACCTGCTTTAATCTTCTTGATCTTCCAAAGTATACAGAGAAAGAAACCCTACGCTCTAAACTGATCCAAGCCATTGATCACAACGAAGGCTTCAGTTTAATATAACTTGGAATTACATACTATTCAGCTCAGTGCAAAAGCATTAAACTCATTTTTCTTGTGGTGATGAATTCAGCAGTGTCACAGGTACTATTACTACAGTTCTTACTTGCAAAACGTTTGATGCTGTATTCATGAAAGCCAAAAAAATTCTAAAATGATTAAACTTAATACTGAATTGTACAGAACCATGATTTTTCCCCCATCTTCACAAGTACACCATTGTGAATACATTAAAGTTTTACTAACGTGCTTTAAGATTGAGTATTTCAGAAATGGTCTGATGTGTGAGTGCATGGAAATGTTATTTTCCAATCACCAGGTGAAAACCCTTTAACTTCATCTGGAGTAGGCATTTGATTATTTTTCCATCTTGTAAATAATGTTAAGTTTTGTAATAAAATAGTTATGTTCTGGTACCAGTACCGTTTCCATGGTTATAATTGAACTGAGATGACTTTTAAAGGTTTAAAACTAATGATTTAATCTTATCTGAGCTTCTATAAAAAGGAGAAAAGCATGGTAGTCTCCCCCCCCTTTTTTTTGCTAGAATGAATGACATCTGTGCAAACCTAAATTACAGGTGGGAATTACACTAGGCAACTCGTAGTTCCTCCCTCTGTGAACCGTGAGGTGCTGGTGGGCTGCAGGCCGGAAGAATTTTGTCTCCACAGTTGCCAGTAATGGAGACGACGGCCACTGAGAACCAGGCACTGGCTGATAGCTTCCAGAACTATGATGCTGCAGGTTAACACTTAGTCCATTGTTAGCGCTCCAGAACTATATCCTGAAATTTTCAGTAACAGATTTTAACAGTTTTATGGTGCTGATGCTTGGTTATCTCATGTCATTAAACTGTGTGTTGATGCAATACATGTGACTTTCTGCTATAATGCAAATATTTATTTTTTAAATTTATAAAAATATGCCGTGAAAACTTTAAATAATAAAGATTTATTGGTTTAATATTTAAACTTTCAGTGGTTCTCATATAAGATTCAAAATTCAGTAAGGGGGGCTGTCTCAGGAAAGGTGGATTGTGTCCCATTCTCACTAGCTGTTGTCTAGCAGCCCAATCACACCTAAATTCCAAGAAAAACCTTGAAGTTTTTTCCATATTTCATTTTGCATCAAAACTTTATCTGAATCATAGAGGTACTTGTAGTGGTTGCTAAATGGAACTGTGACCCTGTGGGGTCCTGTGTGTGTGCTTTGAAAATGCCCTGCAGAATTGGTGAAGCCTGCAACTTTGTAAGGGACCGCGGGCCTGTACTTCGCAGTTTAACTTTAATAAGCATACTGGGGAGCCCCCCCGGACCTTACAAATGCAGCCCAGGACAGTGTGCTCACTCACTGCTCACCCCATGAGGATAAGCACATTCTGAGTCCTGTCTTGGTGCCCCTTGCATGCTCTGAAGCTCAGCTGGGAGGCAGCAGCCACACTGGACTGAGAAAGTCCCAGGCCCAGGCATTTTGATGAAGACCTCATCTTAGTGGGGAGCATAGCCCTACAAAGCTTAACAGGGTAAGTGATGCTCTCCTCTGACTGCTGCAGACTAATGAAGCAGTAGCAACACAGCAAGACTCACGATAGAAAAAGCATCTAGAGAGAACTTGCAAGTGGAAGACTGGAAGGCCCACTATGTGGGCACAACAGTGTATACATGTAATCCCACTGGACCCAAGTTCAAGCACAGCATGGGCAGTTTATCAAGGCACTATTCTCAACTGACCATGGTATTACATTTCCTCCAGTCCCAGCACTCGAGAGGCTGAGGCAGGATCCCCACAAGTTTGAAAAAAAAAAAAAAAAAAAGGCTGTCAATATAATAAGGGCGGGGGGAGCTTAGCTCAGGGCAAAGGCCTTGTGTTCATTTCCCTATCAGTTGTACAGACTGAGTTGGCTAAAGTAGACAAAACTGACACATTTCTAACAGTGCCTGGGTCCTGGTCTCCTTAGGATCAGTTTTTAGCAAAGTTTGGGCCTTCCTTACACATTTTTATCCCATTTAATAGCACAAAGTATGCAGCAGAACATGCTTACCACTATCCTTCCCTGTGGTGCACGGCCCTCAGCACTGCCCAGTACACCAAATTACTGACGTGGTGACTTATTTCTAGGAATAAATGAAACTAGAGGCTTCTTGTGTAAATTAGCCTCTTTTTCAGGTCCTCCCTTGGAAAGGAAATCGATTCTCAAACCTGGCATACCTTTTAAAAATCTGTGTATGCAGGGCTGGCGAGATAGCGCAGTGGACTAAGCATCTGCCTAGGCAAGTATGTGAGCGCAGCAGCCAGGGTTCAATTTCCTGGCATCACATGCCACGCCGACCCTGGGCATGATGAGCTGGCCACTGAGTCTGGGCATGGTGGTACATGCCTTTAATCCCAGCACTGGGGAGGCTGAAAATACAAGGATCTCTCTGAATTCCAGCTGCAAAGTGAGACCCCGCCCAAAACCAAACAATCTGTGTACAAGCTCTCCATGTGCAACCTTCGCGCAGTTACCATGCCAGCCACCTGAGGCTACTTCTCCATGTCTGCTGATGCCCCGGCTCAAGAGTGTTGAGTGGATTATATAGGTAAAGATCCACTCGACATCGAAGCCTTACCCTGCCCTAGTGTAGGTCGAGACCCAACAAAATTGAACAAGCCAGGCACTGTGGAGCACACCATGAAGTACTTGGAAGGCTGAGGCAGAAGGGTCATGAGTTCAGGGATTAAGGGGACAAACTAAAAATCTAAGACACCATTATTTTATGAAAAACTAAGGAAAAATTAACCCTCATATGATAGTGTAGGCCCATCAGTGAGATGTCATTCTAACTGAAAGGACTAGAGTATGGGTAAAGGTGCTAAATGAGGTTTTCCTGAGTTTGTAGCACCCCAACCCCTGTACACTTCCTTCTTCCAATCTGTGTACTTATGGAAAGTCACTGTTTCTTAACTTTGGGACTCAAGGGTACAGTAATGCCTTGGTTCACAAAGATTTCTGTTCTCAAAAGCGTTCAATGTAGTTTTCTGTTCCGTTCACCACCTCTGGCTCTGGTGACAAGCATCTTGTGTGTACACACACAGGCACAGCCATTCACCAATTCCTAAATGAGGTACTACTGTACTGCATATGAGGTTTACTGGTATGGGTTTTCTCTAGTGCTGGCAGAAGCAGTGCTGGCCAGGAGGTTTTTACACTTGTCGGGGAGTGGCTGCCAAGGCTCTGGTCATCAACTACGCAGTCTCAAATGCCCTTAGAAGCTCAAAAAACCCAAGTTCTCTAGTCAGCCTCAAAAGGCTGGGTTCCCACTTGGCCTCCTGCATCCCTGAAGCCCTGCTCCTTCTCGTTTACTTCAGGTCCACCATAGGTAACTCTTAAATTTTTGGAACATCCGGTGCTGTGCCATAAAGCTGTGATGATTTAACAGTGTGATTTAACAGGAAAAGTCAAAGGACAGTTTTAATAGACTTCGAAACGGGGTACAGGTATAAAACACTGGTTCTGTATTTCAAAAGTTGGAGGAAGATATCCAGTCATTAAACAGTCTACAAAACATGTGCCAGTAGATTACATAAAAGACTATGTACAATATAAAAAGAGCTGAAAACAGTCTTCACTGTAAAAATAATTTAAAACAAGTTTTTCAATTTAAAATATCATCTATAGCACAAACACATCATGCAAATGGAAAACTAAATATGTTGCATTCTTTATTGTACCCAAATGCAAATTGAGACATCTTTTATGTAGAGAAATGGCCATTTAAAACAATTTCTTTGCTGGCAGTAATGGTCTAGCTGGATATTTTATGCATAAAGAACAGCTATATTTCAAACCCTTTATATTGTAATAAATACTAAACCAACATAGGAATACTTCAAAATTTGGGAGGTAATGTTAAAAGAAAAAAACTTGGAAAATAAGTGTTTACTGTGCAGTTTTATAAAGTATGAACTTTTTTTGAAATGCCAGAAATATCTGCAGTTGAGGAAGTAGATCTCTAGTTAGTTTTAAGGCAGGCTAAGCTTTTAAATAAAGGTACATGGTAAGAGAACTGGGTTTATCAACTATTCTGCCGCTACAGGTCACATCGAGTTCATCTCTGAAACACTTATCAGTTCACCACACCAGAGCCTCCCACCAGGAGACAAGGGCTTCTGGCAGAAGAACAATTAACACCTCTATACTTTGGAGTTGTTCAGGGGCCTGTCACTCTCCACTAATGGAGAACAGCAGTCCAAAATATTACACTCTCCCCACTGACAGTACCATTATTACAGATTCAGAAAGAATTTGCATGCTCGCATCTTGGCAGTTCAACATTTGTGGGAAAGGATCAATGCAAGCTCTACCACAGTGATAGGTAAACAATGGCAAATATTTCAAAACTAAGGAGGTACAGGCAGGCACTGTGTTTCTGAAGCAACTGAAACATTTCCAAAGCGTTTTTTATGTTACTTTTATGAGCAGATACAGAGATTAAGTACTCCATGTCTGCAGAAAGTACAAAAACCAGCTTCATCTGGGAACTCCTAGCACCAAGTCTTACTTTAAAGAAGTAAAGACAACTGAGTGCTCTCCCACATGCTACTGCCTGCCTTTACTCACACTGCATGTCATCTGTTGAGACTTTGAAAAAGTTAGCTGCCATGAGGTTTTTTGGAAAATGCCAGTGTTGAAAAATAGGTAATTGTGCTAAAGAATCGAAAGTTCAGCAGAACAAAGATTTTGAGGACATCATTCAAAGTTAACAAAGAAAAGTGAAAATACCGTTCTTTGGTCTAGATAAGCTGTTCCCTTTACATTTACTTAACATTCCAATGGCTTTTTGAAAACTTTAAAGTGTTGAAACTAAGCAAAAACAAAATCATATATACATATGGGTGATACAGTCAACCTTTAAAGAAAATGAAATCTTGACCAACAGTTGATTAAAGATACTTAGTACCTTTAAGAAAAAAAAAGTTAGTGTTGAGTATACAAATACAGAAATAATGGAAGTTAAAAAACTATCCATGAAAAAAAAAAAAGTATTTTACCAGTCCATAAATTATCACACCTTTCTGGTATCCTTACTCTATATTGAGTTCACAACATTCATCTTGACATGCTGAAGTTCCTACTGCTGGTGGAACAGTTCTTGTACCTGGACATCACATTACAATTGGTTTGATGGACAGTTCATGTCTGTCATTTCCTGTTTCGTGGGGACAGCGCCATTCGCCGCCTCTTGATCACCTCCGTCAGCCCTGAAACCAGTTCCTCCAGCAATCTCTGGAACATCAGGATCATCTTCCAAGCCATTGTAGAACTCTTCGATCTCACTTTCATCCTCCAGGGGTTCTTCCAAACTGGGACTCTGGCACGTGCCGCTGCCACTGTCACTGCCACAGGAACTAGAAGACAACATGTCGTCTTCAGAGTCTGAATACACCTCAGCGCCGTGGAAAATGTAGCGATTCGGTGGTAAAAACAAATACTGATTACCTGAAATACAGCAGTAAAAGAAATATTACTTTCACATTGGTCAGATGCAACTGTGATTGGACCCTCTGGAGCCCTGACACCTGCTCCAGCTCTACCCTGTAAGTATCACTGCAGGACACTACTGGTGGTCTTCAAAACACAACAGTTCAGCCAGGCACGGGGGCATACACCTGTTATCCCAGCACTCAGAAGGCTGAGGCAGGAAGGTCCCTGAGGCAGGAAGGTCCTTGCTGGTTCTAGACCAGGCTGGGTTACAAAGTGAGTTCAAGGCCAGCCTGAACTGCAAAATGAGACCATCTCAAATAGACAAAATTAGTTAGTTCCAGGTGCAAGTGTTAGTTCTCCCACTAACTAGCTCTGTAAATACTTTATAAAGGTATCATTCTAGAATGAAAATTCTAACTTTTGAGGCAGCCCATGCTGGCCTCAAGCTTGCAGTAGTCCTGCCTCTACTGCTGAGTGCTGGGACTACAAGCATTCACTCCCAAGCCCCTCACCCTCAGCATTTAACAACTCTCAAGCATAAAAAAATGTGGAGAAATGGGGAAAGATTACTTAACAGTGGTATCTTTTAAGTGATTTGACTATTCACATCAGCCTATAGTAGACGCCTGAATCATGCATTAGTGGAGCTTCTCTAAGCACACAAGCATTTCTTTAAATACTTTACTGCTTGCCAGTGTCCTCACCCCATACTTAAAGCAGTCTGTGGACATGGGTGTCACTGCTGGTGACACATTCTGATGAATTCTACTCCAGTCCCAGAACTGTGCCCTTACAATCCTCCTCATACCAATTTGAGAGGCACTCATCTTTCAACTTTGGTCCCCTAAATTCTCTCAATTTACATTCACTGTCTTAAGAAGCCACAAAGACCATGAGTCAAGAACTTCTGTAGATCTTCTTAAAGGGGTCTTACAGCGGTGACCCATGCCTAGCACCCTGCAAGGGAATAAAGCCTGCAGCATAAAGACCCAATCCCACCTGTTAAAGGGAAGAATCTCTTAAAAATTAAATGTTAAATGTTCTGTCTTTGTGCCTATCCCAGACTCTACCATAGAAGCCTGATTACTACACTGGCGGCAACATGTCACTAAAAAAACTGCTGTTTCTGTGTGAAGTGCCTGACTTCAGTCTTGTGACAATTAGGACCGGAATCCACAAAACTGGCACACATGACATGAAAGCACAGCATTCACTTTTTTAAAATACTGGTAAGATGGGTGTGGCGGTGTAAACCTGGAAGCCCAGCATTTGCGAGCCTGAGGCAGGCACACTCACACAAGGCCCTGATGGCCCTGATTTAAGGGTGAGGGGGGGAATTCCGTGTTTCCCTTTGTGTTCCGAGCACAGCGTTCACATTCAGTACCACGTTTCTCAGCCATCTCCTTGATTCACTCCCTGTTCCACAGCCCTCAGCACAGGGCTGTTGCGTGTTGCTTTTACTGTAATTTGGGTCTATACGTCTAACAATGGTACTATCCTACCCTGACTCCCTAAGGTAAGAAGTAAGTAAAGACAGTTCTCAGTACAAGTGCTCAATACTTTTCTGTTTTTGCCTTTATTTGGAAACCAACCAAGACAGATTAAAAATTTGTGTTTCTTTCCTTTTTACTCTTTCAAAAATTCGTACAATTCTGTAACATATACACTGGTTTACTCTGTTTTGTTGATTAGAAAACAGACTTAAAAACGTAGCCCTTAACAGAGTTGAGACGGTGCAGGCTCAATTCCAAAGCTGTTACCTGTGAAGACTTGAGTAAAAGTCAGTATCTTATCACAGGAGCCTGCACGAGGTTTCCCAGCTTCTGAAGAAGCAGTCACCTACCTGTCAGATGGATCTGTGAATCACTCAAGGACCCCTGTGCAGAGGGCTGGCAGAGACTGAGGTTGCCCAACTGACTCGACCCTTCTACGAGCCTAACCACGGCTTGCTGTTTGGTTCTTCTCTATTTGTAAGTCCCTAGCGCTGAAGAGGTTAGGTCTGGGGTGGGCACATGTGCAGGCCGCCTGGCGCACTTGTGGCCTCACCTTGGGTGGGTCTGCTGCCTGGGATCACGTGCTCGGCTGCACTGAGTGTCAGTGAGTGATGACTGCCCACTTCTTAGAATTCACAAGAGCAGATTTCATTTTTTTCCTCCAGAACTTAAAGTGCTTGCTGTAGCGAAGAAACCTAAAGACTTAACTCAACTGGACTAAATTTCCTTCCACCCAGTGCCTGAAGCACTAAACTGTGTCCAAATCGAGTACAAGATAGTGTTTATTTTTAATAATTTGGTACAGGGTCTTGCTGCACAGCTTGGACTCATTAGTGATCCTCCTGTCTCGGCCTCCCCAGTGCTGGGGATTACAGGCATGTACCACTATGCCCGAAGTGCTTATCTCCCCAGCCTGTGAAACCCAATTTAAAGGAAGGGCATTTTTCATGTGGATTAAGTTGGGATTTTGTCCACAACACTATGCTGACCTGAACCATCAATTTCTAAAAACTATCAATTTCACTTATGTTAAACATTTTGTGGCAGAACAGACTATATGTGTCTCCTGATAGGGAAAAGCCAGCTGTTAAGAGCAGCCTTGGGACAGATGACTGGAAATATAATATGGCTCTTCTAATTATTACCATGCTACTTAACTTCTGTGATCCTGTTTTTCTACCTGAACCAAAGAAGTTTTCTTTTTTCCTCATGAAATTAAAACCAAATGCAGAGTTCAAGGCCAGCAGCCATGTCCAGCTACATGGTGAGTTCAAGGCATTAAGCAAGATCCTGTCTTTAAAAAAAAAAAAAACTCAGTAATAAAGTAATACAATCAGATGCCTACATTTAGGTGCCTGTCCTTGAATCTTAGCTGGCACTCCTGCCAGCTCAGGTTCCCACCATACAATGGCAGCCAGCCTGTGCTGTAAAGCCATTTGGCTTCATGTTCACCTTCCCTTCATCACAAATACATGAGGTAATTCATATCCCCACCACCCCGCCAGGGCTGGATGCAGCTCTGTCTTGCACTTGGCTTGATCGATGCTATGTCCTGGTTTCCATCCCCAGCCCCATGAAAAAAAATGCCTCTGTGATTAAACTGCACCATCCTGTTATGAAGATCATACTTTAAGAGTAGCTCAACATTTCTTACCGTCAAGCCGCTTACTAATCTGCTCCTTTGCAAGCCTGTTGGGCCAGCACCTTCTCACTGTCTCAGCAGCTGAAGCTCTCCCACTTTTCTCTGCAGTACTGGAACCAGTATCCTTCCAGTCTGGACTTCCCACACCAATGCTCTCAGCATTTCTAGAAGTCTGTACTTCCTGGGGTTTTTCTACCACACAGTCTTTTGAGTCAGATACGTCTAAATCATCCACATTGCTTTTAGTTGCTTGGTCTAAAAGGGGAACAATCACGGAAGAACCAGGTGAAGTTCTTTCTGGGGAACTGGAGTCTTCTGAAATATGAAGAGGTGTTGGTGGCAACTCTGACAAATGGACCAGCTCCTTCTGTGTTCGTGGAGGTTTCTCAGTAATTTCTGAAAGCTTTACAGGGTTACAACAAAGTTTGGCATATTCCCCACCTAACCTATGACACAGCTCATTGATTATGACATCACAGTCTCCAAGAAGCTCTACATCAAAATGCAGATGAGGCAGAGGTTCTCGATTAATTAGTATCTGAGGCACTTCATGGGGTATGGAACCTAAAAATAAAGAGAAAACAAAGACTCAGAACAGAGCTGCAGCAAGCTAATAAAACCACAACAGAGTTGGGTGTGTTGGCACAGGCCTATAACCCGAGCACTAGAGGCTGAGGCAGGACTGAGCAAGTTCAAAGCCAGTATGCACTACACAGCAAGATCCTGTGTCCAAAAATAAGAAAAAAAAAAAAAAAGCACCATGTGTAAGAAAACCCACAGACCTGACAGTTTCCAAACCAGAAACGTCCACTGATATTAGTGGGGCCACTGCATCATACCACAGCAGCAAAGCAGCAGTGCTGGTTGTGGTCCTGTTACCTGGTTAGTTGCGCAAGCTCTACACTTTTCCACTCGGACTCTCCATTTCCTTTTCTGTAGAGACCCACGCGAATGACACTGTTTTCCCACAAGGCAAGATGAAGTTACTATTCTACTAACACAACCAGTGATAGAAAGTTGAAGTCACAAAAATGTGTACGACTACAAGCTCATCTCACCTTTAATAAAATTACCTTTGCCTCTCACCAGCACACTAGTACTGCACTACACAGAAAGTGTCTAAGAGCAAAAGAGACCAGTTCAGCAATCACACCTGCACTAGTGCCCCAGAAGGCTGAGGCAGGAGGGCTGCTTGCAGCGAGGCACTCAAGACCAGCCTGTGCTTCCCAGCAAGACCCCACCTCAGAAAGCAATCTGCAGCGAAGTAGTAAACACCTGCTTAACATACATACAGGAAGCACTAGGCTCAGTCCCTAGCACTGCCGAAGAAAGCTCAAAGGTACCTACATACGAAATGTTTGTGCATATAGTGTTTTTTTTTTTTTTTTTTTTTTTTTTTTTTTTTTTTTGGCGGAACTGGGGATTGAACTCAGGCCCTTGCGCTTGCCAGGGAAGCACTTATTCCACTGAGCCATTACCCCGGCCCCGTGCATATAGTTTTTGTGGGTTTTTTTTTTTCTTTTTTTTCTAACAGGATCTAACTCAGGGCCTCATATTTGGCAGGCAGGCATGGTAATCTACTTCAATAAAATTTCCTGCTTTCGCCTTCCAAGGGCAGTAGTACAGATATGTGCTGCTGTACTAGTCTGTTTTTGCTTTTTAGAAGCTGTATGGTGGAATACTAGTTTCCTTGAGAGAGGTTTCTTCTGGCTACCAGTGACTGATAAGGGTTTGGTTTGATTTGTTTAGTGGCACTGGGATCAGGATTTAGTTCTCTGGTTGGGTCTGATACTGTTTCCTCTTGATAAAGACAAGGAAAACTTTCCCAAGCAAACCATTTTATATATGAAAATGTGTTTGTGCCTGTGTAAGCCAGACCCACACACCAAACCTGTGAAATGCCTATGACACGGCATGGTTGTACTGCAAGAATTGTCATCCTAAGTTCTTAAAGTCTATCTCACATGAGTATACTCCACTTCTAACAAGCCATGTTTAATTAATATGAAATAAATTAAATTTGTTTATTTTTTAAGGTATCTGAACACTTCCCAATCCTTAACAGATCAGAGGCACGTCTGGCAAAATCAATTAGTTTTGAAAGATGAACAACTAAAGACTAAAACTATATTTCCCAGATGTGGTGATGTACACCCTTGATTTCCCTATTTGAGTAACTGAAGCAGAAGGACTACAAATCTGAAGCTAGGGTGGGCATTTTGTGAGTTGTCTCAAAATGGGCGGGGCTGTGGCTCACTGGAAGAGGGTGCAGGCAGCCCTGGTTCAAGCCCTAGCACTGCAAACAGCAGGAAAGAAAGGCTGACGTACAAAGAAGAGTTTCATGAGTTTACATATAAATTTGCTTCCTGCATATTGCTTTCTCCTCTAGACTAGGAGTGGAGCTCAACATTACTTGTCTGGATAGCCACTGAGACCTGCAGCCAGGCGTGAGCAATAGTGTGGATGCTGCCTACACCTTGGAGCCTGGCATCTCCACTGTCAGGAAATAGCAAGAGCACGGGTGTATGCTGTACAGCTCCACCACCAGCTCCACACAGCGCCCCCAAACTATCAGCAACTTACTTGGAATCAGTGCTACTGGTCTCACTTTCAGGGAAGACCCAATAACAATGAGGAGATCAACTTCATCTTTGTCATATTTCATGGCTCTATGAAACTGTTCTGGTAAATTTTCACCAAAAAAGACAATCTCTGGCTTCATGATAGCAAGTGGCTCATCTGGTGGGCACCGCGGGCATCGAGGGACCACCTGCAGGTTACAGGTTTTGGTTAGAGAGGGAAGGGGGAACAGAGGGGAGGGGAGGGGCAAGAGAGGGGAGAGGAGATCCATGTTAGAAGACTTTTTTTCCTTTTATATTTTTTAGGGAAGGGTCTACAGGGTGTTCAGGGTCTCACTACTAGATCAGACTCATAGTGATCCACCTGTTTACGGCCTCCCAAGAGCTGGGATTAAGGTACCTGCCATCATGCCCAGTCTCATTCACCATGTCAGCGCACCCCCGGAAGTGAAGCTGACACAGCAGGCCCGGGAATCAAATCCCGGCCCCTGCACCTGCTTGCAGGCACTTTAATCCACTGAACTATTTGGCCGGCCCAAGACAACATGGATAAAATATTTTTACCATCACGTAAAAAATGGTATGAGGGATTACTACAACTAATTTAAGATTCCATGTGACAGATACTAAATGGTAAAGAAAGGAAAAAACTAATATAGCTACATCTTATTTGGGATATGGCTTTTTATTGTAGGCTCTGACACTTTCCTGATCTCAAGAGAGACATTGGGGGAGTATCGTCCCAAGACAGATGGCAAAAGCTTCCTGCAGCTCACTAGCATTCCCAACACCAACACTTCCCTCCTGGATCTTTCTGTATCACATAAACAGTTGGCAGGTGGGCCCAAAGCAAAAGAAAAAACGGATCAGAGCTGTCCATAGTTTTCTAGAATGTAAGCAGTACATTACCTGGTTGAAAACATCTCCTCGTATAGCTTCACAGTCAACTTTGTATCTACAGATCAGGCAGGACGCCGTTGCAAAGGAACCTAAAGACAGCCAACATATGCATGCTTTAGAAGTTTCCCAAACCCAATGCAGAGCTTATAAAGTTTGATACTAAAGTAGGTTTTCTTTTTTCTTTTTCTCTTTGTATTTTTAGTACAGGGTCTACAGGGTCTCACTATGTAGATCAGACTTGTAGCAATCCACCTGTGTTCAGCCTCCCACAAACTGGGATTACAGGCACGCACCACCACGCCCAGTCTCGCTGTTTCAGTGGGTGGTGGGGGCAGGTAAAGTAGATTTTAGAAGATTCCATAGGAAAATTTAAGAAGATAAAGAATTTAAGTACATACATGTGTAGTGAAACAGTGTTTGCAAAAGTGCTTCTTTTCAATAAATTAACTCCTCTAGGGCTAAAAAGTAGTTAGAAGGCTCCAACTCCGACCTTAGCTCACAGATGTGCTTAAAAACATTTACAGATATATAAGAAAATGGCTATTAAGTGCCTGCCCAGCAAATACAAATTCCAGAGTTCGATCCCCAATATATATATATATATATATATATATATATATATATATATATATATAAAAATGGGCCGGGGAGATGGCTCAGTACAATAAGAGTTCAATCCCCAGTTCCGCCAAAAAATAAGAAAGTAAAATAAATAAATGAAATAGCGGAATAAAGTGCCTGAAAGCAGATACAGGGGCCAGGGGGTTTGATCCCAGGGCCTGCCCCCTGCCATGCCAGCCCCACTCTTGGGGCGGGTTGAGAAGGCAATTGAGACTGGGCGTGGTGGTGTGCTCTTAAGAGGCTGTAAACAGGCGGATCACTACGGATCTGATTTAGTAATGAGACCCTGAACACCCTGTAGACCCTTCCCCAAATTACAAAAAGAAAAAAAAGGGGGGGGGGCTGGGGAGATGGCTCAGTGGAATAAGTGCTTCCTTGGCAAGCACAAGGGCCTGAGTTCATTCCCTGGTTCTGCAATTTAAAAAAAAAAAAGAAAGAAAGAAAATGGCTAGTACATACTTTAGGCAGAAAAATCTAAATTAATGATTTTTTTTTTTTGAGACAGGGTCTCACTTTGTTGTTCAGGCTAACCTCAAAATTTGCAGATACTCGTGGCTTCCCACATGCTGAGATGACAGGTGTGTGCAAGCCACCAAACCTGGCTCAGCTACTGAATCTTTATGTCTTTTTTTTTTTTGGTTTCCCCCCCTCTTTATGTCTTTTTGTTTGCTTATTGTTTTTTTGAGACAGGATCTCTCTATGTAGTTCAGGCTGGCCTTGAACTCTCAGTGATGCTCCAGCCACCCATATGCTGAGATTGTATATAGGTGTGCACCACCATCCTAGGCCTTTAACATAATTATGGTATACAACAACATCTTTTGAAATAAAAAAGTATCAAGGCCAATACTTTTGGTTTCTTTACTTTTATATTATACTTTTCTTAGGTTTTCTATTATGTATACAGAGACAGCATGATTTAATGATGCCTAGTAATTACTATACCTTTTCTTTTTTTTTTTTTTTGGCAGAACTGAGGATTGAACTCAGGCCCTTGCGCTTGCCAGGCAAGTGCTTAATTCTATTGAGCTATCTCCCCGGCCCAGTCATTACTGTAGGCTTTTTTTTTCCTTTTTTTAAAGATAAGGTCTCACTATGTATTCCAAGGTGGCCTCAACCTCACCTTGCAGTCCAGGCTAATCTCGAACTCTCAGCAGTTCACTGGCCTCAGCCTCCCTAGTACTAGGATTACAGCTTTGTACACTGCACCTGCCTGGCAGCTTGCTTTCTATTTCTAATCCTGCTGTTTCCTATAGAACTAAATTATAGAAAGCCATTTTGAATACTAACCATGACATTGAATTATCCTTTGAATTCCTGCAACTTGCTCCAAGGTATCTATATTCTGAGTATAGTTGCGAAGTAGTTTTCCTTCCTTATCTGATAAGGCTATGAACTGATGACAGAGAGATGGTTGGAACTGTCCAGGGTATATTTCCTACATAATGAAAAAGGCAGAAAAAAAAAACCTGATTAATGAAGTAAGTATAACATCCATCCTGCTTAAGCTTAACAAAAAAGCTACCAATGATAATCCCCCATATATAAATTTTAGAAATAAAATGTATTTTAAATCTAGACGGATGCAACACACACCTAGAAAAAGGAATGTTGCTGTAATAGGTAAAACTCAGCAATTAGTGAACTTGGTCCCTTGAAGAAAAGGGTAAAGCTGATAAACATTTCTGATAAATGCTAATAGACATTTTAATGTAAGTCAGAAGTAACATACACCTTAGAATATCTAATTTTTGTTGGCTGCGAATTCAAAGTTTTCTTTAAGGAAAAAGAAGGGAAACTTACACTGAAATTACAGATATCAAAGATAAGTGACAGTTTTAATTAAAAGGCTCTGTCAACACAAGATTTTTTTCAATTCATAATTCATCATAAATATCAACCTGCTGGAAGTTTAAAGCTGAAGTTGGAGTTCCTTACCAAATTGTTTTCCTTCCACTGCACAGGCACAGACTCGTATAGTACAGAGCTGCTCATGAATGCTGAGTTGCTGGATTTTGTGTGTGTGTTTTTCCCCCCAAATAATGCTTCAATGCTGTTTCTTCTTTAAAAACAAAGAATTCAGATATACACATGGCAAAAAGATCAGAGAAAAAGTATCAATGTTGATCCTCCCAACTTTTGACAGTGTTTTTATTCAACTTCATCTAGTGACTATGGCAAAGAAAGTTCCCTCTCTACTTTTTCCACTGAAGTGGCAGCACTATCATCTACTTAACTTCCTTCCCACTCATTACAGACTCTAACCCATCATAATGCTAGGAAAAAAAAAAAAATCACAAGTGAATGTCCACCAATAGGAAGTCAGTTGTACAAATATGGGACATTCAGTATAGTGGTTAGTGCAGCCATTAGTAAGGATGAGGGAGATCTAGATACATTGCCATGGAAAGATATCCATGACAAAAGTGATGAGAAGCCAGTTAAGTCATCAGTGTGTATAATTTGTTTTTTCTTACTAAGCACAAATGGAAATCATATGTACATAAGTAGACATATACATATAAACAGGAAGAGTACCAACAACTAGGGAAATCTTTCACTTCTGACATTACAAAAAGAGTTTAATAGGGAGATTCAAGATGACTTGACTTTTTACCTATTATCCCAAATTTAAAAAATACCCTGCCACTCAATTAGGATACCTTCCCAATAAAAGCAAGCTAATCCCAAGGTAATAACTATCATTCATATAGACAGACAAGTCCATATACTGCTAAAAACCTACAAAAATTCTGCCTTGAGTTCAAATATTTACTGTAGATGAACTTATAAGTGTACCCCCCAAAAAAACCACCATACAAACATGAATAACTGCAATTTAAAGAACTGACAACATCCTGAGTTCAATCCCCACTACCGCAAAAAATAATAAAAAAATAAAAAGAAACTGACAACAGGTACAGAAGCAGCAAGGGAAAGAGCCTATTAAGGTCAGTGATTACAGAAAACTGAAAGCTGCATTGTATTTTGGAAGACTGAGCTATACACCAACCCATCTTCTATCCAGGGATCTTTGTTCTGGTAAATTTACATGTAGAAAACTAAACATTGTAGTTCCTTATTAAATTTCCTTCCAAAAATGACAAAGTATTAAAGAGTACTAAGAGTATTTTAACCCCTATTAGAAATAGGCTGGGTAGGCAACAGATACAACAGAATCTCTGAAGCAGCAGACTTAGCAAACAAACAAGGATGAGTGGGCCAGCTCCAGGGTATAGTCGGGGGACAAGAGCACTAAGCCTCCAGCCAGGAGTTGTGCACACCAGCTTTGCAGGAGGCTGAGGCCAGAGGATCCCTGAGTGTTCAAGGTCAGCGTGAGCTACATAGTAAGTTCAAGGCCATTTGGAAATACATAGCAAGACTATCTCAGGAAAACCAAACAAACCCCAAGTAAGCAGAGCATAGACTATCTACCTGCTTTGATCCAGCTGCATTTTACCCACTCTCCTGTTACAGGAGAGTAAGAACTGCAGAAGGCTAGAGGCAGTTCTACACTCCATTTCCCTTCATTTTCACCTCGTCATACTCAAGGTTACTGATCAGCATCTGTTGGAGATAACTTATGAAAAGACTTTCATTGGCCTACGGTTTTGTTTTGTTTTGTTTTTTTTGCCTACGTTTTAGAGCCTATTTTCTTTCATATAAACTGATTCTGAAGCATTAAATAGTGTATTTAAACCAAGGAATACAACCAGAAACTATGAAAAAATTACTTGAAAGCATTTCCTTTTTATGAAAAATACTCTTGCATTAAGTACTTGCTTTTATTGTTTTGCAGTACTAGGAACTGATTCAACCCAGAACCTCTGCCGAGTCACATCCCCAGCCCTTCTTTATTTTGAGATAGCATCAGGCCTGCAGGCCATAAACACAGAGATAAAAGCATATGCTACAAACACCCAGCTGGCTAAGGCAGCTTTTCTCTAAGAATGCATTATTTCTTCCATGCTGTAAACTCTGACATCCTAGCCCTGTTGTAAGCAAGACAGGCAACCCGACATCTCAGCATCTTAAAAGCCTTTCCAGGATCCAATCACCAAGGATTTAAAATACTATTTTAAAAAGCTGTCTCCACGTAACTATGTCTCTTTCTTTTTCCCTTTGAAACCATGTCTCACTGTATAGTCCAGGTAGGCCTCGAATTTATAATCCTCTTGCATCAGTCTAACATGTTGGAATTACAAATATGCAACACTGTGCCCCCCTCAGCAATGTCTTAAACCATGCGAATAACCCAGGAACTGGTAAAGGGCAACCAGTACGGTCAACAGTATGGCGCAAAACTATCTGCTCTCAAAAGAAAGAAAACATGGACACAAAGCTTTTATAAGTGGGCAGAAAAGGTGGTGATGGTGAGGGAAATGGGAAAAACAAAGCCAAGTTCCATCATGTAGACATGAACAACGGCTTTTCACTGCAGGGCCTGCTTCTCCTAGGAGACGCTGAAAGTAGAGGGCAAGTGCAGCCCTGGAAACAAGGACTGGTAAGGTCTGCACTCATAGCAAGATACTAGAGCCTAAACCCTACTCGCTGTACAATGTGAGGCAGATAAATCTTCATAAACAGAATGCTCATCATTCTGTTTCATTCGTCCATACAACCACACTTAAATTCCCTACATAATATTTTGTTGAATCAATACTTATTACCAAATAAAACTAGTCCCTGACAAAGAGACACATGGTCTAGTCCTTATGAATCTAAGGGCCAGCACACTTTCTTCACACTGGGCCACCAATGGAGTGGCCTAAGTACTTGAGGCCTCACATGCCAAACTGCATCCATCACACTTTGTCGCTGTGCACTGTAGTGCAGCAAGCAACCACATAACACAGTAAACGAGAACAGCTGTGTCCTAATAAACTTTATATTTATGGATGATAATGTTAAAATTTCAAAGGCTGGGGAGATGGCTCAGTAGGATAAGCGCTTCCCTGACAAGCGCAAGGGCCTGAGTTCCGAAAAAAAAAAAAAAAAAATTTCATACACTGTTCATGGGCCATACATAAAATACTTCTATTCTTCCCTACCCATTCAAGAATCACAGTAATTCCTAGCTTAAGGTACATGAGACTGGGGAGATGTTGATCAAAGGACAAAAACATCTCAGAAAAGGAGAATAACTTCAAATCTCTGTGTATCATGGGGATTATGGTTAATAGCAGTGTACTCTGACAACTGCTGTGCAAATTTAAATGTTCCCATAAAAAAAATACATGTATAAGGTAACGGGAATGTTGTTTAGCTTGATTTAGCCATTCCATAATGAATACATACATCAGAACAAATAAACTAGGCATGGCACTGATAATCTGTAACCCCAGCACTTGGGAGGCTGAGGAGGAAGGGCGTTCAAGGCTGTTCAGGGCTACAGGGTGACTGAGACTAGCCTGGAATATAGTAAGACCCAACTCAAAAAACCAAAACCAACAAAAACCAGTGTTGTATACCATAAATACATACAATTTCACTTGTTCATTTATATGAATACTAATTCTTAACTCACAGGCTATTGGCCACATTTAACCTTGAGTATAATTATAATTTAAAACATGAAGAAGCCTGTTTTTAAAAAAAAAATAGGATGCAAACCAATTAGTACAGTTGTTACCATACTTCATGAACTTTTTTTTTTTTTAATTTATTTATGTGTGTGTGTGTGTGGCCAGCTCAGCCCACCAGGGGGCGGGGCTGGCTGGCATGTGGTGCTGGGGGATTGAACCGTGGTCCCTGTGCTCTGCTAAGCTTGTTCCAAGTAGGTGCTTTAGACCACTGAGCCATCTCACCAGCCCATGAACTTTTTTTTTAAATGAACTTTTCAAGAACATAACTATTCCAGAGTCATGATACCACATGACTATAATCCCAATATAAGATTATAGCAGGTCATGTATTTAAGCCCAGCTTGGAAAATTTACCAAGACCTTGTCTCAGAGAAAAGACAGAGATGCAGCTCAGTGCAAAAGCCCTAGATCCAATCCCCCATACCACAAAAAGCTAAAGAATATAAATATTCCCGCAAAATCACTTTGAAAAAGCACTCCTAAGGGAAAAAATGGCTAAAAACAAAGAAACAAGCGTGATAGTATGAAGTAGTCACGCACACTAAAAAAGAGCACCAAGCCCCTCTGCGCGCTGGCCCACCCCTGGGGTGCCCCGGGGAACCCAGATGGCAATTGCAACTGCCATGGCAGCACGCACCTGTAATCCCAGCACTTGGGAGACTGAAAAACAGGAGGATCACTATAAGTCCAATCTGTGTAGTGAGACCCTGTACTAAACACATTTAAAAAAAAAAAAAAAGAAAGAACACCAGGGCACTCGGAAGGCTGGGGCAGGAGGATTACTCCAATCCAAGCTCAAGGGCAGCCTGGGCTACATAGTGAATTTAAAGCTATCCTAAACTATACAGCCAGC